CAAAGAATCTGCAGTTTTACTATGTACCATTAGTTATGGGACACCCTGTATATGTGGATTAATATGTTAATTTTATTAATTAGATTTGAAACAAATCATTTATTATCAGTAATTATTACTAAATGTGTTTACATTGTACATTGTAGACTGTACATTGTACAGTGTACAATATAAAACAGGATTTTTATTTTAAAATAAAATGATTACCTTATCTTTTAACTAAAAATTTTTAGAGAAACGTGCAATGTAAAAATATTTCCTAATACTATACTATGTGCTTTATTTACATTTTACAAGTTCTAATGATTTTTCAATGTAGATCAAATTTAATCGAAGCTTTATAATTATATATTACTTTAAGCTGGATAAGAAAAACTACCACATTTTTTAAAAGAAAATGTAAAGTAAAAATATTAGATAGGTTACTTACTCCTATAATGTGGGATTTATTTATATTTTAAAAGTTATTTAGTATTATAGTTAATATTTATATTCCCAACTTCTTAAAACAACCATTATTATAATGATACTATCGAGCCTCGATAATCGAGGTGTTATCCACTGATTTTAAAAAATTAAAAATCGCCTACGAATTAACGGCTAAGGATAACAATTCCAAGGACAGTCATGCGCAACGTGTCGCTAAGACAAAATTCTTATTGATAAGGATTTTTCCACATATTATTTGGACGTTGTGTTATAACGTTAAACGTTGGTCTCGCTGATTTTAAAGTGGTTTACCCGTCGGAAGCATGAATTTTATTTTTTAAATGATTTTATTTAATTTCTTTCGTTTAATATACTTTACCAGGTACATAACCTAAAATGCATTAAATGCCAGGCTATTAAAAGAATACGTTCTGGATCAAATGCAGAGATGATCAAATGTCAAAATGGGACTTTCGTGTGTGGAGCATTGATCACTGCGCTATGCTCCACAGTGTGGAGTCCACACCATAGAGAAAGGAAAAGAGAGTAGTCCATCGCATTGTTGTGTGTTTTAAGCGCTGCCATACTTGTATGTTTAAAGCGCTGCTTATCGTACATGTTTCCATGACACTAAGTGACCTTTTAAATACACATTGACAAGTTGTGGCTTTACAGCTCTTTAGTCCCGGGCTGAATTTAGCAATAGGTTTTTAGTCACGGGCTGAAGTTAGTTTTAAGTTAGTTGACAGTTGTCATAAAATCGTTAAAATAAATTGCCTTTCTTGTAAAATAATACGAAATGTGAAATTTTTTTTATTATCTTAATACAAAAATACAAAAGTATCTATTAAATAGTTTCTCAACGCCAATATTTGAAAAGTTTATATGAACATTGTACTGACCTTTTAATTTCGCCAGCAGTAAACTATAGCTTAAATTTGGACTCCACTGTAAAGTGCTCATAAAACATTTTCTTTACTTTCACTGTGGAAAACTGTCAATTTTCAAGAAATACATTTTGATTTATAACCTTTATAATTGTGTATAAAATATAAAAATTTGACATTTGACGGTGACACACAGATTCCCCTATTGTTTCAAAGATGGCGCTCTATACAAATTTTTTATTTAAATCATTTTAAGATAATAATAAGTATTTGTCGTACAAAAAGTATACTTAGTATGCACCTCGTTTATAAACTTTTCTATACACTCATTAATTTAAGCACTCGCATGCAAGCTCGCTCGTGCCTAAATTAAATTCGTGTATAAAATGGCGTTTATCAAACTTGATACATAATATACTATTATCTACTCCTACATTAACGAGCTGTTACTTTATGGCGTTTTAGTGACGGGCTGAAGTTAGTTTTATTATAAATTGGTAAAAAGTGAGGGTAAATTCAGGTGACAGTTAACAGATGTCAAACTTTTAACAAATACAATTGGCTTTAAATTCTGTTTTGTGTTCGTCGTAGATAAAGTATAGTATGACACTCGTTTATAAACTTCTCTAGACACGTTTTTTTAAACACTCGCTCGCAAGCTTTGCTTCTGCTTAATTAAACTCGTAACTTAAATGGCGTTTATAAAACTTAATACATAATACATAGTTTTGCTTACAATTATAGGGTTACCTTTCTCTATGGTTACCAAATAAATTATATGTAACAAAAGTTTTAAAAGTTGAATTATGGATCTGTGATTAAAGATGTAATAACATAAAATTTATAAACGTTTAAAATTTAAATCGTAAAACCAGGGTTCAGATGTATTGGCCCTAATATAAATCATAAAACACATTCTTTTTGGGTTTAAGCTTGCATTTAAAAATTGTTATTACCTTTTTAATGTTATATCGATTTTTAAATCATAATTATCTGTTTTATCAAGTTTTTAGTTAGCCAGGTTTTATACCTACATATGTTAGGTTATGTTACCATTCCCACCTTGACATTTGAATATTTTGAATAATATATCAGTTAGCGCTAATTTTGTCTTATTTTCTGTGTGGGGCACACTATGGAGAAAGGCAGTAACTGCAAAAAAATGCAAAATGCGTTTTCTTGTGCTAGGATAAAGCTATGGACATTTAGTAACCGAATTCAACACAGAAATGCAGTCAAACACGGCGTTCTCTATAGAGGTATAAAGAACGCCGTGAGTCAAATATCTCATAAGTTAAAAAAATCAATTAAATACCTACTGCTTTTTATGAAAATGTAGTTTATGCTAATTTTCCACAAATTTCTTGTTTAGCAGTTACTGCCTTTCTCCATAGTAGGGCAGTATAGTACATTAGGGTATCCCTTATTTACCAAGTTAATAATTTTAACAGCGACCCTAATTAGTTTTTACTCCTAAAATTATATACAGTGTGTATCAGCCAAATGGAATAAATTCGATAATACATAAATGGGGGCATGTTCCTAAAAATGCTCGGACACGTCGATTAGTATTTTTAGTTGCGCACTTTTTTCAACAAAATCTTTTTGTACAGGGTGTCTCATATATCAGTGGCCAATACCAACTTTCAAATTTCAAATGGAACACCCTGTATTTTATTCAATTTTTGGATTCTTCAGAAAATTATAGACATATTTCATGTACAATGTCCTATACCTATCTATCAAGTGTTTCGGAAATATTAAAAAATTAACGTTAAAGAACGATTATTATAATTATTTGATTACACACTCAATATTTATTTCCCTTTTAGGTTTTAATAAGCAAAAACCATTTCAGTGGATCTGATATGAATGATAAAAAAGCTATAAATAGTTTTGTGTTTAAATTTCGTTAACTGCACATCAGAAAAATGGTTCATTTAATTGAAATGCACAAAATAACAATTCTACAGATGATTGGTTATGGAGATAGAACACGGACACAAATGGAAGTTGTTCGCTTATTTCAAGAAAAATTTTTAAATTTACCTCCTATATTCCAAGGGAGTAAAATAGAAAAGCAGTTCGCGAGCTTGGACATGTAAAGCGGATGAAAAAAATAGCTGCAAAAGTAATAAGTGATGATACCAAGTTGGATATTATGCTTGAGTGAGGAAAACCCACATACTTCTAGTCGAAAAGCAGCCCCAATGTTCGATGTTAGCCATTCATCGATTCTTCGAACTTTAAAAGAAAATAAAATGCATCCCTATAAAATGATACCAACTCAGGAGCTCACGGAAGACGGTTTTGATAGGAGAACGTATTTTTGTGAAGAAATGATGGCAATGTTAGATAACAATGTGATCCAATTACAACATGTTTTGTATTCTGATGAGTCCACCTTTACACTTTATGGTCAAGTTAATCGTCAAAATTGCCGCTATTGGTCTAAGGAAAATCCTCACTTGATGAGAGAAGAACATACGCAATATCCTGAGAAGGTTAATGTTTGGGCAGGAATTGTTAGAGATAATATCATAGGTCCCTTTTTTATTGATGGCAATTTAAATGGCAATAATTATTTAGCACTGCTCCAAAATAATATCGTGCCTACTGTAACAATCCTGATCCAGCAAACCCACAAGTTCCAGCGAATATGATTTGGTTTCAGCAAGATGGAGCACCGCCCCATTATTAAAATCAATGTAAGGCAGTACCTCAAACAAATATTTCCAAATCGGTGGATAGGGAGAAGAGGATCGATGGAATGGCCAGCACGATCCCCTGATCTGACGCCATTAGACTTCTTCCTATGGGGATATGTCAAAAGTATTGTATACAAAACCAAACCCCTCGACTTAGCTGACTTAATAATACGAATAACGCTGGCGATTAGATCGGTCACACCTCAGATGTTGAGTAACGTTAGAAGTAATTTCTATTTAAGATTAAGATGTTGCCAAGTCGTTCTCGGCGAGCATTTTGAACATCTCCTACATTGACAATTGTTCTTTTTTGTTGTTTACAATATCAAAAAATAAACAGTATAACTTATTCGTTTTTCAGTGTTGTAGCGATTTTATGTAATTAAATAATTATAATTATGATAATTATCGTTCTTTAATGTTAATTTTTCAATATTTCCAAAACAGTTGAAGATAGGTATAGGACATTGTACATGAAATATGTCTATAATTTTCTGAAGAATCCAAAAATTAAATAAAATACAGGGTGTTCCATTTGAAATTTGAAAGTTGGTATTGGCCACTGATATATGAGACACCCTGTACAAAAAGATTTTGTTGAAAAAAGTGCGCAACTAAAAATACTAATCGACGTATCCGAGCATTTTTAGGAACATGTCCTTATTTATGTATTATCGAATTTATTCCATTTGGCTGATACACACTGTATATATATTTGCTTGATAAAAAAAATAATTAAATGTAAAAATTAAAAAAATCACAAGATATTGGAAGGAAAAATGTATGATGTTTTCGGCAAAGTTAAATAATTTTTTAAGGGGTTTAAACCAATAATTTAGGGGGCGCTGTTTGAAAAAAAAAAGAGATTGATAAATAAAGGATAACTTACTGTACATACAAGTTTATCATTGTACATCAAGAATTATAAATCAGTGTTGACGTGGTCTTTAAACAACGGTGTTCTATATATACTTACAATATTTACGCATATTGTTTTCTCCCACATACAGTCAGCCAAAATACCGGCATTGTTAACAACTATATCCACTTTGTGAAATCTGTTTTTCGTACATTCAAAAACCTCTGAAATTATCAAATAAATAATATTTTGGTTATTTAAATTGTACATACGTTCTAAATCCTCCCGATTAGAAACATCGCATTTTTGAAAAAGAACCTTATCCTCGCCAAATTCTTTATTTAACTTAGACATATTTTCAAGGGAAACTTTTTCATTTGTATCTGCAACTATGACTGCCTAAAAAGGTTTGCATTATAATTTAATTAAATTTAGTTTTAACCATGACATTGTGTAATATTTACTTTAGTTCCATTCATAACAAGATGTCTAACAATTGAATCACCAATGCCATTTCCTCCTCCGGTAACGATGGCCACTTTACATTTGCAGATGGGAGGTTCGTCATCTTCTTTGCAGGTTGACAATTTTCTGTTGCTTGTTTTGTGGACATATTTTATTATATAATTTATGCTGAAAAAGCCAAACATATTTTATTCTAAAATTGTGTACAAAATGCTTTTACCTTAATGAACTGAACAATGCTGGTGTGCTATTTAATGGAAATTTTGAAATAAGACCAAAACATAATTGTGAAACAGACATTTTAATGTTACATGTGTCAACGAATTTGGCTGTTATGTCATGCCAACAAACTTGGATGTCATGATTTTTCATAATAATCAATTTTGGTTTTGACCAGGTTTTTTTAATTATAATAAACGAAAATTTAGTTTTAAATTATTTATATTATCATTCACGAGTACAATACACAATAACTTTACAGTACAATCCACTTATTCACTTTTTACCACAAGGATCATCACATTCATCTTTCTTCTTTTTACAGCAATCTTTCTTGACTGATGGATTGCAGGGATCTTCTTCACGTTTTTTAATTTTACGGCAACAATCTTCTTTGGGATTTTCTGCTTTTTTCGTTGTCGGCTTGGGTTTAGAGGGTTCCTAAATAAATTTTAATTAAAACTTAAAATTTAAAAAAACTGCACCATTACCTTTTTTGGATGCTGCGGTGGGGCAGTTGTGGCAGGTGGGGCAGGTGGGGCAGGTGGTTCAGGATCGCAAGGACTTCTTCTGGGCGGGCAAGCGCAAGGATCAATTTTCGGAACCTCGCATTTTTCCTTTAAAGGCGGATCTTCGCCATGACTAGGTTCTGAGAACCTAGGTTTAGGTGGTACCATTTTTGGTGGATACCTCAGCGTCCTCCAGTCCGGGAAACAGATTTTTTCACATCTACATTGTTCTATAGAGAATAGATCACCATGTTTTCCACCCTCAAGCATTTTAATGACACAACATGCCACAGCCTCAGGACTAAAAATAGACAATAGTACTTTTTAAATTTACAAATATATCGTTTACTTTTGTTTAGGCATATCACTGGTTCCCTTTGCATATATTGCACCAGCGTCCCCAAAATCTTTATAACCAGCCTTTGCAGCCATTTGCTTAGGATCAGATAAATCAGTGATGGTAAATCCAGGAAATATAGCCATCATCCTAACGTTTGTAATTTTGTAAAAATCATTACCAAGAGCTCTTGCAAATCCCATAACAAAATGTTTTCCACCTGCGTAAACCGGACTGCAAACCATTGGTATTACTCCACCAAGAAGTCCAGAGACATTGATAATAGTGCCTCCGTTACCAAAGCAGTTATGAGTGCCCATGTAGTTTAATCCCAGATAGGTGCCCAAAACTGTACCGTACTTAAAAAAAGTAATTATTAAAAATATTTTCTCTATATTTTTAATTTATTACAATGTTAACACATATGGTTCTTTCCCACGAGGCATCGGCAAGTATCCCAGCATTATTTACTACAATATCAAGTCTTCCAAATTTAGTTGTTGTTGCTGTAAAAACTGCTTCAAGTTCCTCCTTTTTAGCAACGTCTGCTTTATGAAATATTACTCTATCGTCACCAAAAGTTTTTTTTAAACAACATAAAATATCTTTGTCTTCCACCATATCTACTATAACAACGGCCTAAAAATAACATTGCAAATTGGTTTTAACAAGTATTATTGCTATTACTCTAGCGCCTTGAGCCAAAATTTCTCTTGCTACTTCCAGGCCTATGCCAGCCGTGGCTCCGGTGACAATGGCAACCTGGCATTTCAGTAGACATCCTTTGGTAGCTGGAGGAGGAGGTGGTGGAGGTGGTGGTTTGCAATTTGCATCCGTATAATGCCTTTCCAGATGTTTTAAGGCAAAATTTTGAATAGGTCTTGGACTAAGGCCATAACATATTAATTGACACTTAAACTATAGCTACTTATTCTTACCTAACGAATGTCTTAATTTTTTGGGATTGATATATTGAAATTTGGGGTAATATCCGGCCAAATATTTTGGGCAAAGCCATTTCAAATTTTTAATTTATTGACATTTTTATGTCACATGTCAAATAAAGTATTCTATTAACACTCTATACAAGTAGACAAACTAAGCAAATTTAATTACTATTATATAATTTATTAACTATTTACATAACATTTCTACTCTGAGATCAAAATCTGTAGGAGTTACATTATACAGTGATTGACCTCCTTCTTGAACCAAACAACTTCCATTTATTCATTTTTTTAACACTGTTATTAATGCTTGGCCACAAGAATTAACACTACAAATAAATATTTTTAATGTCATTTTTTCAGAAAACATTGTTTACCCTTGAACTGTTAATGCTTTAACTCCATTTGGATTTTCCTGAACTAAATTTTCAAAGTTTTTTAAAACATAATCCATTTTTTCAACCATAACAGTAGGTATGGGTTAACCTAGATCAAATGATCATAAACTTAACACCAGTCAATTTAGTAAAACCTAAAACGAAATGTTTGGTCCCCACATAAACCGGACATCTGTTAAAATGCATTTTACGGCTAAAAGACTTCCGCCAACCACAGAACTCTTAAAATTATTATTTGTTTGTATTTTATTGTGTTAATATATATCAATATTAATATAATAAACAAATAAATAATAATAAATACAGATATTAAGACATTGTACCTACAGCACTCACTGCTATTTCCAATTTTTCAGTTTCAGCATTGTTTACAACAATATCAAGTCCTTTAAATTTATGTATGGTTTTAATAAAGGCCTTAAAATATAAATTCTATCAAATTAGTTTTTTTTATTTATTTAAACATACTACAGGGTGGTCGCTTTCCCATTACAAATTGAATATTATTTTTGTTTATCTAATTTTTTTTAAATATATAAAACAATAAATTTTTTAACAACATATAAAAAAACATGTTCTTCGCAAGCACGGGCTCTCTTCACGACATTTTCCATGACGGCTCTTAACATATCAGTATTTAAATTTGTTTTTCAATGTAGTTTGAACTCGGGTCTCCAGTTGTCTAACTCTGCGCTTTTTCTGTATTGCTTATAAAGACGCTAACAATACTTTGTTGTTGGCCGCAAGAATTAAAAACGAATAAGGAAATTATATTAAAGTCGTCGCACGGAATGTTTATAATTGCGTCATCAATGTCGAATGTCAAAATCTGATTTCGCAACATACGTATAAAAAACGTGAAATGTTAGGTTAGGTGATCAGTAGCATATCATTTTCAAGGGGTCACAATAACAATTAAACTTCGTATCTTAGACAAAGAATCTTGTCTAAGCTACGCATTAATAAAATAAAATAATGCCCCTGGTTTTTTGATTTACCTGTATTATTATTGTACAATAATTGTGAGGGAACAGATGCCCCTGACATATGCAACTGTCCCGATCACTGTAAACCTTAATCATGTGGGGACAGAAAAGTGCTAGGGAGCGCAACTTTGTAATCATATATACGACATTTCGAGTAAGTAAACTTGACATAGGTTTTTTAAATGAAATGCCTCTGGTTTTTTGGATTTTTCCTGTATTGATGTTGTACAATTGTTAAGGAACAAATCTCCTGACAAAGCACCGTATGCAACTGTCCCGATCACTGTAAACCGTAAATTTATTAACAGAAACGATTTAGGTGGAAAAACATATGTATTTATGGAATGAAGTTTATGTTTATTTTCTCAAAATTGTTTATAATTTTTATATTGTAATGTACACTATGTATTTTATTGTCAATAAATTATTTATCTAAATACTGTCGTCAAAGTCATCATCCTCGTCGAAACTGTCTTCTCCGAGGTGGATGATTAGTTCCGAAACTTCGTCCATTATTCTTTGCCGCTGGAACCACTCCTCAGTAAGGATAAGTGTCTGGTTCCAAATCTCCATAGCTCTTACCTCTTGGATACAATTTAATGGGAGCAGGGGACTAGTTCCCTAAGTTAAACACAAATCACTGCTGTTTCCCATCTAACCGATTTCCGGGCATTCTGATCAGAATCGTACGGAATTTTGCTGAAATCGAATACTGAAACACTAGTTTCATTATAAAAATACCTTTTACGCTAAAGAAGTATCGGGTTTTCGCAACGCTCGCGCCATCTGGTGGACTTAAATAAATAGGTAGTTTTTTTTACAAAAGAGAGGAAGGCAGAAGTCTAACTCGACAAATTTTGTTCAATTGCACAGCTAAATCGCGCACGTTATTTGTGTTTTACGTTGCAAGGAAAAAAATTAAAAAACTTTTTTATTACTCGATTTCGATTGATTATTCCTTATATCATTGATTAAGAAACTCAACGCTTAAATGCTTATATAGTTACGTTAGTGTGTGTATTTTATGAAAGGGATCATGGTGAATTGCATTTTCATGTTTTGGCAAAGGATCCAATTCGGTAAGTACATTTGTTGGTGCAGAATTAACTAATGATAACTTTACCTAATATAATTTATATTTAAGTTTGGATATTTTTAAGAAATTAGTAAACAATAATTTTTGTAGAAACATCACCTTAAAATCAACCATTTTTATATTTAAGTTCTCTAAAAAACGCCGACAACTGCATTTTTTAAAAACAACAAAATATACCTACGAATTCATGGCAACATAATATTATATAAAGGGTGTCTCAAAAGTAACGCAAGATTTGAATTAAATAAAAAACACAATCTTTAAATTGTTATTTTTTTTATTGAATCACAAAGTACATAGGATAGGGTTATTTATGGAATAACACATCGCTTTCTTTTGTCGAAATTTCCCATGACCATTCTGCATAAATAATTTTCACCTTTATGGCTTTGTTAATCGCCAGAATTGCCGTGTTTGGGGTTCGGAGACCCAGATGTGATTGTCGAAAAACAAATGCTTCCACAACGTGTCACTGGTTGGTGCTTATTTTGGGCTGGAGGCCTCATTGGACCATCCTTTTTTCAAAATGAGGCTAGTCAAGCAGTCAAAAGTGCGCATGTTCCAGCAAAGCCGTGGAGGTTATTTACTATTTATTCCATAAATAACCCTATCCTATGTACTTTGTGATTCAATAAAAAAATAATAATCTAAAGGCTAAAAACTGTGTTTTCTATTAAATTCAAATCTTGCGTTACTTTTGAGACACCCTTTATAATACATAATATAATGCTATTTTAGCGTGGAGACTTTCTTAATCAACGCTTTTAATAATGCTAAATGCTGTTTAAATTTAGACGATTTTTACTGAATTGAAATGTTTAGACTTTTCACGTTAATCACTACTAAAATATGTATTTATTGTATCTAATAGGTACAATTTATATTTACAGAGACTGCATGCAATTTATTTCTTCATTCAGATTAACACTGTTTAAAGGAAAACCGGTAAAAACTTAACCCAGGATTTCCTCTCGAAATACACCCAACAACACAACAAATCGATCCACGTTTTTTTTTTCGATATTTTTTAACATTTTCCGGCTTTATTCTTAAAAACACTTGTTTGTAACCTAAGCGTTTGACAGCTGATTATTAAAAGTTCTACTTTTGTTACGATGATAACAGCCGAGTGGTAACGCTACTAGCTACACTAGCATAAATTATGCAAAAAAAACTTATAAATTATAGAAATATATAAATGTCAATGTCAACTACAAATATTAAATGTCGGTGAGGAACACCGCTAAGCACGTTACAAAAACCTAACCTCTCCAACCACAAGCTAATGCGCCTTGAAGATAACATGTTGTATGTCATTCGGCTAAAGCCGGGTCTACAGATGTCGCAGGTCGCAGTACATAAGTTTGCGCAAAGTACCCAGCTGGCAAAAGAATCTTGCTCCATCGCCACGTCGCAGGGTGCTTTGCGCAAGCTTATGTTCTGCGATCGGACCCCTGCGACAATTGTAGACCCGGATTTAGAGGTGTCTTTTTGTGTTTCATTCGGCCTTCAAACTTTGAGCTCAGCACTAAAAGACTCACTTCTCAGCCTTATGGCATAAATTACTATTTACAATTACTCTATTTTAATAGTATATTAAATAACACAGCCACACAAAAAAAATTTTGTGTTCTGATCTGGGGGCCTGACCATATTTTCTATATATTTTTGGGGTCGCTGAATCCGAATCCGAGGTCTATTTAACCCCATCACATCAGGATTTTGCCATAACCTTAAAAAACCCATCATATAAGCTATTACTATATATAACCCTGAGAATGTGGTTTTAATATAAAAATCCAAGCTCTTAAATATCACAACTTCATAACTCACATAACTCCATATCCCCATAACCCATTTAACCTCATAACTCAATGTACATCAACCACGTTTGTCAGATATTTAACTTAATATGTACGGTATTTTAATAACCGCATAACTTTAGTCTCTTCAAAGCTAAATGTCTGACATACGTAACTGTTGGAATTGATGTTGATGGGGTTAAATGGGTTACAATGGGTTTAAGTGGTTTATGGGATGGGGTTAAAATGGTTATTGGGTTTAATAGTTTGGGTTTTCAGATCACAATTTCATCCTAAGGATTATATGTTTAAATAGATGATGGGGTTAAGTGGGTCATGGGGTTATGGGGTTAAGTGAGTTTTAGGCTTATAGTGTTTAGGAGCTTGGGTTTTTAGACAACAACTTAATATTTAGGTTATATGCGTTCAATAGCTTAAATTATAGATTTTTTGAGGTTATGTCAAAATCCTAATTTGATGGGATTAAATAGACATTGGATACGGATTCAGCGACCCCAAAAACATAAAAGAAATATGGTCAGACCCCCAGATCAAAACACAAAAAAAAATTGTGTTCTGATCTGGGGGCCTGACCATATTTTCTATATATTTTTGGGGTCGCTGAATCCGAATCCGAGGTCTATTTATCCCCATCACATCAGGATTTTGCCATAACCTTAAAAAAACCCATCATATAAGCTATTACTATATATAACCCTGAGAATGTGGTTTTAATATAAAAATCCAAGCTCTTAAATATCACAACTTCATAACTCACATAACTCCATAACCCCATAACCCATTTAACCTCATAACTCAATGTACATCAACCACGTTTGTCAGATATTTAACTTAATATGTACGTTATTTTAATAACCGCATAACTTTAGTCTCTTCAAAGCTAAATGTCTGACATAAGGAACTGTTGGAATTGATGTTGATGGGGTTAAATGGGTTACAAGGTTATGGGTTTAAGTGGTTTATGGGATGGGGTTAAAATGGTTATTGGGTTTAATAGCTTGGGTTTTCAGATCACAATTTCATCCTAAGGATTATATGTTTAAATAGATGATGGGGTTAAGTGGGTCATGGGGTTATGGAGTTAAGTGAGTTTTGGGCTTATAGGGTTTAGGAGCTTGGGTTTTTAGACAACAACTTAATGTTTAGGGTTATATGCGTTTAATAGCTTAAATTATAGATTTTTTGAGGTTATGTCAAAATCCTGATGTGATGGGGTTAAATAGACCTTGGATTCGGATTCAGCGACCCCAAAAACATAAAAGAAATATGGTCAGACCCCCAGATCAAAACAAAAAAAAAAAATTGTGTGGCTGTGTAATTATTTAGTACAGTAAATAATGAGATAAAAAGAGATCATCTGATCAACCAAATCATGCATTTGGATTTCGAATGGATTTTTTTATGGAACCCCCAAAAATAGGGGTGAAAAGATTGTTAATTTTGTAAAAAGTGCTTAAGAGCGATATTGTACAGATTGAAATTACCTAAAATTTTTGTTTATAATTTACTCCTTTGACTGTAACCCAGGTAATATTAAAACGTTTGCTTTCCAATGTATTTTTTGAAACACTTCTTTGTAATAATTATAATTAAAAGGGAATTTATTATTTTATCCACAACCAAAATATATAAAAAATACAGTTGAATTTTCAAACGTGTTAAATATTTTACGACATTTAGTCATGCAAACATGCAATATAGACGGTAATAAAATATTATTTGATATTGCAAATTATTTTTTAAACACTTTGATTGTCAAAAGGCAAAATCAATCAGATTTATTGATATTTTATAAACATAATTTATTAAAACAGTTTTTATTTTTTTCGCCATGTTTTTAAATCGGGCAAAATAACTTCATAAACTGGTTCCCCACCTTCAGAAACCCAAACACTTCCATTTTCGCCTTTGGTTATCATGGTAATTAATCCTTGGGCCACATCTTCTGGTCTACAAAGTGCAACAATTTCTTATTTAATAACAATTATTCTTTAGCTTGTTAAAAAATTTAACATTAATCTTTCGTTATTCTGTATTTATATTTTATCTGTATACAATCACAGCTGCGATTTAAATGAAATAAAACCGAAATTACAAATCTTCCTTATAAATACTTAAATTATTATTTATTGCTATGTTTTTAAATTAATAAATAATATTAGGAAGATTTCATTAAAAAAATATCACTGCTAAACACTCGGACAAGTAAACTTAATTTTTGGTCGTAGATTACAAATCCGTGCCAAAATTCAAAGATATTTCAAGTTTTGGAGCATCCCCTGTATAAATTTAAAAAAATCAATTGGTCTGGACCCCCACATCAGTTCCAAAGTAAAAAAAACAAATTCTTGCAAAATTTAAGATTAATTGATCAAAAGGAACACGTGTCCCTGAGAAATTTTTTAGATAATTTAAAATGTTTTTCGCCGTTTTCTTTCATTGAGTAAAATTGAGGATATTATATTATATTATACGAAATAAAAAGCATAGGAATGTTGGCACAAGAGGTGAAATGTATTATTAGCAATATACAGTGTGTCCGGGAATCGAATTGCCAATAGGAAAAACTTTTTTGAACCTGATACAGCTTAACCGAGCACGGATTGAAATCTTTAACCAAAAATTATGTTTACGTGTCCGAGATGTGATATTTCAAGAGTTGAAAATTTGTTGTTTGTAGGTATTTGTATCTTTTTTGATATAGCAAATTTTATAACTTATTTTACTTACTGTTGTGCTGGATAAGAACCTAAATCCTGAACTAAAATCTCTGCAATTTTCGGAAAGTCCGTTAAAGCGAATCTGCCGGCCTCCGAAATTAGCGGAGTGTACGTAACTCCGGGGCACATCGTCAAAAACCTGACCCCGGTTAAGTTTAAAAAGTACGGTGTCCCAAACGATTTAGTTAACCCGACAATGAAATGCTTGGTACCCGTATAAATCGGACAGCCAGAAAATTCTCTCAGGCTTAAAATGGAGCCGGCGTTGACTACCACACCTCCATTTCCTCCATAATGTTTGCTCATGTATTTAAAAGCTAGAAGGCATCCCTCTACTACAGCATTCTAAAGTTAATAAAAAAGAGTTTAGTAATAAAAGATAATTTTTTCAAGTTTTAAAAATTAATATACAATATGTACAGGGTTATTTCTTATTCTGAATATTATAGACAGCGCCTACTGAGTTTATTAAAAGAGATAGAAAAAAACTTTAAATACAAAAGTTGTAGTTTTTGTCCTAAATCTACAGAAAATGTTACGTTAATAACAAATGAATATCGCAAACTTGGTAAAAAATACAAACTTGGCTTATATTTAATATGGTGACATTTGGTTTAGCGGTTTTTTAAATATTTGCATTTAAAAAACGTTATTATATTGGCTTACCAAATCGTAGTTTCCATAAAAAAAATGGGTTACACAAAAGTTTGTTTGTTTTTTTCATGGCAACTACTACTTGGTAAGGCAATATTATTACGTTTTTTAAAATGAAAATATTTAAAAAACGGCTAAACTTATTGTAAACATACTATATATTTTTGAATTCAGGGAAAAAATAATTAAAATTAAATTAATATTTGTTATAATATACAGGATGTTACATTAAAAAAAAACTACCCTTTAAACAAAAAGTCACGGACTTATTAATCCACCCAGGGTACACTTTGGTACATTTGTCGTTTTCAACTTAAAAAATATATAATCATTAATTTTTTTTAATAGTGATATTATTACTTTACAAGAAAAATTAAAATCGCGGATGATATATGTGGAAATGCCAGCTCTACCGTCCACAGGGCGCTGAGAACTCTCGTTCGCTGTGTTTTCACCGCTGTTCTATGGCATTTCTTGCTATAAGAGCGGCTGGTGCATTTTGTTTCGAGTGTGCTTTAGACCAACACGACTACCCGACACTGATGAGGACCAAAAGTCCGAAACAGGCTGTCTGTCGGAGCCTGGTTCGAGGCACATTCGAAATAAACGCACAGTGAGCGAAGTGATTGGCATTTCCACATATTGATGCGCAACAGTTAGCTTAGTCTCTGTGTATCGCCTCTTATATATATGTACATATATATATATATATATACCGGGTGTATCTGAGAATAGGCGCACCCCTGTAACTTTTTTATTTATAAAGATAGACACATGAAATTTAGCATGGTAAATTAGGATATAAAATGCCACTTACAAGAGTACAAAATGAATTTTTTGAACTTCCGGTTTCCCCGGAAATGATACCAACTTTCGATTTTTAAATGGAATGCCCTATATATTTTTACATAAATGGAATCCTGAGGAAATTCTGAGTCAGACAACATCATCAAATTGACCTTTCGACGTTTCGTCATCAGAAAATGCATCATCATAAAGATCAATCTAGACCAAAACTCCGAAACAGGCTGTCTGTCGGTGCCTGGTTCGAAGCACATTCGAAATAAACGCACAGTGAGCGAAGTGATTGGCAATTTCACATATTGATGCGCAACAGTTAGCTTAGTCTCTGTGTATCGCCTCTTATATATATGTACATTAGGGTGTCCCTTATTTTTATTTTTTTACGCATACCCTCTAATTATATTTATTACTTGTTTATATACTCCTAGTAAAAATTTCAGCTCATTCTATAAACGGGAACCCGCGCCGACTTGCATCTGAACCCTCCGTTAGCCAACGTTAGGCGCGCGGTATTTTGTAACACGAAACACTTTAAAAAGAAGATATACTTCATGACTGTATTTTTCTAATGATTTTATTAAATATGATTACTAATTAATAATATTGCTTTTGTTTCTATCATTTGTTTCACTAATTTAGTTGATTTTATCCCTTAAATATATTAATATAATTAGTATTGCTAAAATATACTGTTATATGAAATTTCAGCTTTTTATAAGCATTTCTTTTCTTGGTGTCCACCCAAAAATATTTCAGACAGTTCAATAAGTTTTCGGTAGTCATCTCTCACAATAGACTCTTTTATTTATTTAGAGTAAAACCCATTAAGTTTATCAATTTTAGAGTTTACGGCCTATTCACCAGACCCTTCCGGGTAACTAGACACTCCCTGTGAAAATATACATTTTTATCAAAGTATACACATAAATAAAACTATATTTTAACATTTGTCAGTAATTTATAATATAAGGGTCACATAATAACAAACACAAAATGACTTACGATCGAAGACCTCGCGACCAACCGTGTTACAAAATACCACGCGACTAACGTTGGCTAACGGCGGGTTCAGATGCAAGTCGGCACGGGTTCCCGTTTATAGAATGAACTGAAATTTTTACTGGGAGTATATAAACACGTAATAAATATAATTAGAGGGTATGCGTAAAAAAAAATAAAAATAAGGGACACCCTAATGTACAGTGAAAACCAGCAACACCATCCCAGCAGATAGGACCTAAACAGGGTACATGAGATTGTACCGAAACGTCGTCAGACATAGGGTGCTTTTAAGACCCAAAAACCGACAACACAGAGCAGATCCCGGAAAACCATCAATGCATATAACACCCGTGGAAACCTAAAGCAGAACATTGATCACGTTAATTTGCGTGGCGTTTTGGTGGTTTTAAGAGCTGATTTCCATGCAGTTGGTAGACTCTGTGTATCGTCTCTTTGTTGAGGTTTGTTGGTCCTGTGTTCGATGCTAGCCAAGACCATTGTTTTTTCAGTCAATTTCATGAGAAGTTTTTCGGACGTGTTCAGCTATGGAAGATGTTTTTTATTGTTTCAAGACTGTGTTACGATGTTCTTCGAGTCTAACGTTGATACGTCTATTGGTCTGTCCCACGTCATAATTCCTTGTATACAAGGAATTTCGTACACCCCTTGTGCCTCCAGTCTATTTTTGGTTTCGCGTTTGGAAGTATTTTACTGATCTTTCTTGGGGCGGTAAATGTTGTCTCAATGTTATGTTTTTTGAGAACTTTGCCTATTCTCTCGGTTGTCTCTTCTCGTCCTCTGTGGTATTTAACTGGCGTCGTGGTCTAAGAGCCTTTTTGATGATGGTTTTGGAGAATCCGTTTTGCTGTAGCCTCGTTTGGATTTTCAGGTCTTCTTGTTTCTTGTGGTCATCATCCGCCAGCCTTTCGGATCGCGTGACAAGTGTCTTAATGACTGACTGCAGTTGTGACGGGTGGTGGTGAGACTGGGCTTGTGCCCTAGTTTGCCATTATTTTTCTTTATTATGAAGACATCTAGAAAAGGTAATTGGTGTTCTTTCTCGTTTTCCATTGGAAACGGAGTGTTGCCGTTTTGATTGCTCGTACTTCCATGAATAAGTTGGCTATTGCTGGCGATATTGGGAAATTGACTTTAAAAAAACAAGGGTCTTGGCTAGCATCGAATACAGAACCAAACGTACCAACCGTGAAGCCATTGAAATAGAAAAATGTTCAAGAAACCTCAACACAAGAGCCGATACACAGAGACTAAGCTTACTGTTGCGCATTAATTTATAAAAAAAAATACATTAAAGTGTATATCTACACAACGGCTACATACGCGATTTTAATTTTTCTTGCAAAGTAAAGCTAATAATATCACTATTTAAAAAAAAAATTTGGAAGATTATTTATTTTTTAAGTTAAAAAGCCAAATGTACCAACGTGACCCCCGTATACCACATCGAAATTTAACCTACCATTTAAAATAGGTAGGTTGCAGTGGCGTGCCATGGCGGCTTACGAAGCGTCCTAGTCGGAGGATGCTAAGAAAACTGAGTTTCCTTACTGAATTTACCGTAAGGTCTACTATTTTAAAAGTTATAATCTGACTTATTTTGATATTAAATAACAGTTTAACAATTTACTAATTAACGCCAGCCATGTTAAATAGGTATTGATAAGGCGCAATTATTTTGAAAGTTTATTTAGGCAACAAGGTCACGGGCCACCACTGGTATGTAGATATTTTAGCGTTTAAGGTATTTTTTTAATTAATTATATGCACAAATAGTTAGATATATCATTTAAATATCCAAAACACACGGCCAATCATAATTGACGATAGGCATTTTGCATAGATAAGAAAAAAGTTTATTAAGACCGTTCTTTTTTTAAAAAAATGTAATAGTTTAAAATAATTATTGCCTATTTAATATATTATCACATTAATTACTACAAAATCAGCTAAATAAGCGTTTTAGCAGAACACAGTTCCAACCAGACTTCAGAGCGAACATGCGAAAAATCTTAATTTACTAAAGTAGTCTTAAACCATCAGAAATATAACGCTAAAACAAACCTACTATTTTAATTTATATTATAATGTTTAAACGTGGATGGAGCTTTTGCACATGTTCGCTTTTATAACTTAATATATTATGTTATGTTACTCAATTTTACTTGATTCAAGAAATATTTAGTAATTCAGAAAAATTAAATAAGAGTGTACCTATAAAATACTAACAAAAAAATTTTAAGAAATAAAAAAACCTTATGTTAATACTTAAAATTGTTCTTTTTTATTTAATTAAATTTAAGTTTTTTAGGTTTATTTGTTATGTATAAACAAAAAGTGCAAAATTATGTGTACGTTTAAATTTTCAAATTTCGTTAAATTTGACCATATTATTTTAAATGTTATACATTACGTACACAATTAAGAGCTACTTGCAATTCCCAACTACTATCGTTCATAATTCCGGCATTATTGATAACGATATCTAATCCTTTCCACTTCTGGACGCTCTCTTTAAAAGCATCTAAAAATAAATGTTATCGTCAGCATCTTTCTTAAAATCGCTTTAAGGATCTTTTAAAAGCACGTGGTATCGTAATGTTAAAATATGTTATATTTACCTCTAAGCTCTTGTTTTTTGGTAACATCTGTTTTGATAAAATGTACTTTATTAGGTCCCAGTTCCTCAATTGCCTTTAGAGCTTGTTCTTCGTTTATATCAAGAATTGTGATACCCTAACAAAAAAACTAGATTCAAAATAATGGTCTTTAATTAGATTTTAATTGCCTCAATATTCTGAAAACGTTAGGTAGAAAATACTAATAATAATACTGCATTAGTATTAGTAGTTATTAGTATTAGGTGTCAAAATAATAAAGGTTTTATACTGCATACAAAAAAAATTGATCCTGGAGAGTTTTTTCTACACATTGTTTAATATTGCACACATCGTATATTACTAATAATAATAATAATAATAATAATAATGGGTCTTTATTTTTCAATTAGTACATACAAGATATTTATAATTAAACAAAAAAAAAACCAAAATTAATAAATCCTAAATGTACATAATACTGATCTTCGGCATTTTTTCTTTTAGATATTATCTAAATCAGTATCGAGTACAAAAGTGTACTCTTACTGTTATTAACCTTAACTGTATTATTACACTGTAGGTAATTTTTTAACTCTTGAAATATCACAGCTAAACGCTCGGAAATTTACTAATTACAGTATAGACTGGGCCGGATTAACCACAGGGCCATTGGGGCCATGGCCCCGGGGCGAAATCCCAAAGGGGGGCGCACGCCACGCCGATCGTTCCCTTTTGGGCAACTCCATACGAGTTGGCGCGCCGCGGCGCGCCGCCCAAAAAATGACATATCACAAATTGTAATAGTAGAAGAGAAGCAACCAATAATTACTAAAATAGTCATATCAATAGATCAAATCAAATGAACTGCAATAAACATCAGCACAACACCAGGACAAATCAACATTATCATGTTTTACCTAGTGCTAGAAACATAGGTCAGCGAAGAATTGGACACACTGCTGTGGTATGGTTTAATGAACTGCCAGAATATATAAAAAATGTGAAATTACTATGTACTTTTACCTCATTAGTTAAGTTGTTAAACAAGAGAAATGTATCCACATAATTATGTTTGTTACCTGTTATGGATTCTTTTGTAATCTTTTTGGGTTAATAAATAAATAAAAAAAAATACACTTTAGTACATTTGTTCTAGACTGGCAACACTGTTTACAGTTTTAAACAAAAGTTATTGCGCGAAAGTATAACCCCTAAGTAAATAGATTTTCATAGAAATCACAATATTTATAAATATTGCCAGTTTTTGCAGTTATTTATAAACTTGTGAGTTGAAAATGTATACATTGGCGATTTATGTGTTTCAAAAACATTTGGAAATTTTTGTTAAATTAGTTTACTTATAAGTGGCGGTTTGTGTTTTTAAAACTTTTAGACAAATAGTGTATCTAACTGTTGATGCTGTTTCTGGTGTTAGATTAAAATTTAGTATTTAGTTTGGTGTTTATTAAAAAGTTATATTTATTTATCCTTTCAACACAGAAGATTCTGTGCCTTTTAATAAAGACTTTAAGACAAATAAAATACTATGAGTTATTTTTTTTTATTTTTTTTATTTTATTGTTCGACCTTTACTTGATGAAACTCCATGTCACTAATATATAACTGGATAAAAAACAAACACTGTTTTTGAGTTTCACGAATTTATTTAAATTTTATTTGACAATTGTTTCGCTAACACAGTAGCTTCTTCAGAAATGATTTCAAACTTATCTAATAACGAACTTACATAACACAATTATTGCAGGTAATGGGTTTTTTTATAAAATATTAGTACTGTATAATTATTTTACCTGTCAAAGTTTAACAAAAGTTGTAATAAAATAATTTTGGGGATCTTATATAATATTAGAATAAATTTAACAGGGGGGAATTTTTAGTTTCTATTTGATCATTTAGAATAATATCAGATTTTTTTAATTTATTAATTTCCAAAGATTCCAGCAAATTTAACTTCGTACCCTTATTTTCAACATGCAAAATTTTGAAATTATTATCAAATGAATGGTTTTTTTGAATTAAATGGTTAGCAAACGTTGAATCTGTTTTTTGAAAATGAACATCGAAAATCTTTTATTAATTTGATTCCTTTTTAAGAAATCATTTAGAGAAAAAGGCAAATAAGGGAAGAGGCCACACTTCTTATTTATCCAAAACTATATGCGATGAATTTATTGACATAATGGCAACTTTAACTACAAAAAAAATTATTGAGGAAGTAAAGCATGCTAAATATTATTCAATTAGCGTAGATTCTACCCCGGATGTTTGTAATATAGATCAGTTGAGTTTTATTTTACGTTATGTATTACCTGATGGATTGATAGTTGAACGATTTATAAAGTTTGTAAGTAAGGTTGGACATAAGTCTTCAGAAATGGAAACTGCTGTTTTACAAACATTAAATCAACTTTCTCTAAATATAACAGACTGTATGGGTCAAGCTTACGACAATGCCTCCAATATGTCCGGAAAATATTCGGGCCTTCAAGCACGAATTAAAAATCAAAATAAAAAAGCTGTATATATCCCATGTGCCGCTCATTCACTAAATCTAATTGGTTCCTGTGCAGCGGAAAGTTGTTTAAATGCCACCAAATTTTTTTATGTTTTTAAACGATTTGTACGTATTTTTTTCAGCTTCCACTTTTAGGTGGAACATTTTAATAGATGCTTTAAAAGAATCTAATAAAAATTTAGTTCCCAAAAAATTAAGTACAACTCGATGGTCAGCTAGAGCAGACGCCACTAAAGCTCTCTACAAATCATATGGAAGCTATCAACACGCTCTCGAATTACTAATAAATGATAACAATCAAACTACCACTGTTAGAGCTCAAGCCAGTGGCCTTAGTGATATTATGAATAAACTAGAAACTGGATTATTATTAGTTTTGTGGCATAAGATTTTAAATCATTTTAATTCTGTAAACAAAAGCTTACAGGAACAACATATAGATTTATCAGTTGTAATCACAGGTCTGTGGTTGTAATAGATTTGTATAATTCATTGATAGTTTTTATAAAAACTATCAATGAATTATACAAATCTATTACAACTGATAAATCTATATGTTGTTCCTGTAAGCTTTTGTTATATATAACTGAACTAAGAAACGATACTAAATACGATGAGTTTGAAAAAATTGGAAAGGAGATTTCAAGTTGTGAAGAATATGAGAAAGAAGTAAAAAGAAAGCGATTTAGAAAAAAAAACAATAGATGAGGAAAGCGCAGATGAGCTAACTTTTAGTGGGAAACAAGATATGAAAGTCAATACATTTTATGTTATTTTGGATAATCTTTTATTTGAATTAAATCGAAGAAAGAATGCCTATGAACATGTATTTAATCTTTTTGGATTTTTTTAATTCATTATGCGACATCCCTGATAATGTTATATTAACAAAAGCTAAAGAACTATTGTATATATATTCAACAGACTTGGACGAAGATTTTCCAGAAGAATGTATACATTTCAAATATTTTATAAAAAGCTTGAGACAAAAAAAATCTAATACAGAACACATGAAAATGGCTGATATGTTAAAATTAATAAGACAACAAAAAATTATTTCTACTTATTCAAATATCGATACAGCTTTGAAAATATTTTTAACCATACCAGTAACCAACGTTAGTGGAGAAAGGTCGTTTTCGGTTTTAGAAAGAATTAAAAATTATTTAAGAAACTGCATGGGTGAATGAATGAATGTTACAAATAACATAGACAATACGCAATTTTTTAAGAAACGTCAGATCTGAAGTTTAACAGGAACGGTACAGAAGCGGTACGGGATCGGAACTGGACAGGAAAAAGACAAAAAGGGAACAGGAGATCACAAAAACGGAACAGAAATGAGACGAGAACGAAACAAAAATGGGACGAAAACGGCAAACACGGGACAGAAACGCGACAAAAACGAGACAGGAACATGACAAAAACGATTCAGAAACGGGATGAGAACGGGACAGAAATGGGACGGGATTACGACTATTCGCACAATATAGTATATGATATGAATATTTAGAAATTAAAAATAGTAAGTATATTGAATATACTTACTATTTTTAATTTCTAAATATTCATATGAAATAATATTTGTTTTGGCTAATTACAATTAATTTAAAATAAAAATTGTCAACAATATTTATATTAAAGTAATCACTAATAAATGTGCAGAAATGACCGACCATACTGCCCTTCAGGGCCGTATCGCTACCTTGGTTTAATATGGTTCTGAAATTTTTGCGTAAAAAGGTTCTATGTACAATATAGAAATCTTTTTGTGCAATAATCACATTTTCGAGAAAATGGCTGTTAAAAGAAGGTAGCGATATATAACTACATAGGTACATGAGTAATAGCTTACTCTCTAAAAATGAATTAGTCAAAAATAACTAATTATAAGTCATATTTGACTAATTGTCATAGCGAAAAAGCAGTCACTAATAATTAGTCAAATTCTACTGAATGATATAGTCAAATTAGTAGATTTAAATTTAAAAAAAGTTTTGACCCAGCCGAGGATTGAAGGTCTGACACTTGTCAAGCTGTTGACATAACCCATTCGGCTAACAGCCGCTCTTATAAAAATCAATTTTATTTGTCAATAAATATTGTTCATATTATTTTAGTTGAATATTTTATTTGTGTTGCTGTATTGAGCTAAATTTTTTGCATCTTTATTTGTTTTTATGGGTCATTTAACCATGGAGCTTAGGTATATGCATTTAATTCAAATAATACTTTGTTGTTGGCCGCAAACGATTAAATAAATTAGTCACTTTTAATTCTCAGAAATAGTCAAAGATGGTGAATAATCTTAAATTAGTTAAACTTTAGCTATTTACGTAGTAAAAAATAACTATTTAAAAATGAAAACGACTATTTTAGTAGTAAAACATGCTGGTACTAATTCAAATAGTACAATTTTGACTATTTCATTTTATTTAAAAATGAAAACGACTATTTTAGTAGTAAAACATGCTGGTACTAATTCAAATAGTACAATTTTGACTATTTCATTTTAGAGAGAATAGCTAACAACAAACTTAAAAAAAAATGTTTAATAATTAAGCAAAAGTAAAAAATACAAATTTGGGAAAAAACACAAA